GTCCTTGAAGACTTTTTTCATAAGTAATGAAAAAATGGAATGTAGATAGTTTAGTTCCATTTATGGTAAAAACAATGTATGGCAATTTGGAAAAGATATGCAAATGCCTTGTCATTAAAAAAATAGCTATAAGCACTTTGCCTTAACCAATGCACTTTACTTCACACAAGGCGAAAAAAATCTTTCGAACAATTCAATATGATTAGATAACGATCAAAGTCATAGTTCTACTCTCGAATAACTTCTGAATGAATTATTCCTTAAGAATAAAAAATATATCTGTCTATCATCCCTCCCTCTTTCATGCCGGCTCACAACCTTCTTTTAAGTCCGATGCCATTCGCACACCTTCGATCTCAACTTCGTAGAATCATGCAGAAATTTCTTAGCATTTTGCAAACTGTTTTATCTAAACTGTGACAAAATTCCATGCTACAAAGTTCTTTTTGAAAGTTCATATTCCTTACGTTACAGAACAAAGTTTTAATTAACCTCAGAAGAAAATAGTAGTTACTGCAGTTCAATCAGATAGCATGGGCAAAACCATCATGTGAAGCAAAGGGAGACATGGTGTAACTTCAGTTACCTTAACCTACATAAACTAAGCAACATTTTTCTGATTTTCTTGCGCTTTAAGCAACTAGGAAAGAGGAATTCTTTCTATACTCATAATGTAGCATTAAAGAGATGAAGAAAGAAAACTGTAACCAATATAATGGGATGCATACTATATAGAATTATGCAGAAAAAAGTTTTTGTTCATAGAATGGCGTGGTACAAAATACTTTCTGTTCAAGAAAAAGAACAGCAAACCAAGGTCTCTTAATAAATGAAAGGAACTCTTTTAAGTGCATTGGTTACGTAGAACAATCTGTTCATATACATATATGTTTCATTGCCCATAAAAACAGTCTAGACCAGTGGCAACTTAAAAGCCCACCCCAACGAACTCTTTCTTTAATTTTAGTAAAATGAAAACCTGTATCTAGCTCTCTCCATATCAACTGGTGCTTAGAGTCTTTGTCGCACTGAAACGACTCTTCTCAGTTTAAAGGGATATGATTCCATTGCTGAGATACCCAATCTTTTGTTTATTACACTATTGTAAACTGTACCACTAATAGGAAATGGTATGCGACGTTGAGGGCTAAAGGAGAATTCATCGTTCTTTGACGAGGGCATTGAAACATGCCGCTGAAATAAACAATGGTGGTACCTATATCGAAAAACAGTCTGGCCATTTTAGCTTCTTATTAAAGAACAATTAGTTGCAAATGAGAGAGATTTGTTTCCTTTCTTGTGTCGCTATATATATATAAACGGAACTTAACTTTCTGAATTACCAACGTATATATTATGATCCTGTTCCTTTAACGTATTGCACTTTGTTTGGATTTAATGCATGTCAAACTGTGAGGCAATACAAGAGTATTAGGGGCAGTTTGACCTTATCTTGACCCATATGAAATGCTGGTGATGACCCCGTTTCTGGCAGCCCTCCCTTTCCCCATTCTAAATTTCTGCACCATTCCAACAGGAGGACTTAAATCTTATACAGATGTAACGTGTATTAACTCCTCAACAAGGAGGGGGTCTTCAGTGGCACGAGGTTTCAAACCCGCGACTCGGAAACTCAAGCCACGAGACTCTCAACAATGACTACTCGGCTACTGCGCCCACATTCTATTTTGGAGACAATGGGTCAATTCGATAAAAGTAAAAAATATCTTTAACTTTTAAGAAATTTTTAATAATAATAAATTTTTAAATCATTTAGTAAATAACTGTGTGCTCAATATTGCTTTATTTTCTTTTCAGATTTTCTAAAAAAAGGTGTCAAATGGCTTTTAATAAAAGAATGATGGCGAGAAAATATTAAATGTGCTTATTTCTCTGCATGTATTAACTGTAGGTTTTTTTCTACTCTGTAGTATTTCTATTGTTGGATTCTGTATTTTTTTATACTGACTTCTCAACCATCAAAACCTACTACCAGTTTGAATAAAAGAAATTTTTATTTCTCTATTTCTTGCTATATTGTAGATAACATCACATCATTTTGGAAAAGAAAAAAAAATCTTTAAAAGATTAATTTTCAGGAAATTAAAGCATATTTAAGGCTTATACATAGATAAGACATGTGACCTATTTAACTTGTTATTGTACATTGGAATTGTAAACCAATAATTGGTGATTCAACTGGCTGCGATGCAATCTTGCACACACCAACTTAAGAAACGAGATTTATCACATACCTCTTATGTGGAAATTACGTTCTAAGAAACATGTCGACGAAAGCGCTGAGAAATAATTATGATAATAAAAAATACAGGGTGATTTTAAAATGTTGGGACAAACTTTGAGGGTGGTAGAGCGCACTAAAAAAAAACAATTTTTGTGCAGAAATATATGGGTGGAAGTGCCACGTTGAAGCACAAACAGAAAAAACATACTAACGAAAACTTAAAATGTTCATTAACAGCATGTTTAACGAATGATTCCGAAGAGAAAATGCTAAAATAGTGACCAAAACCGCAAGCACAAATGCCGATTCTTCAAAAGAAAGTTTGGCTTCCATGGTTCCGTAGTGTAGTGGTTATCACGTTCGCTTTACACGCGAAAGGTCTCCGGTTCGATCCCGGACGGAACCATGCGAAAGAATGCTTTTTTTTTTTATGATTAAGGAATTTACAATTACATACGCACGTTTGGAGGTATCCCACTTTTTTATCATTAGTTATAAAGACATTTTCTTCGGTAACATCACGTTCTCTCTTCAAAATAAAGTTTAAGCTCCAACTCTGTCTGTGTTAATGCATCAGAAGTAGGCTCTTCTCTCGGCTTCCATGGTTCCGTAGTGTAGTGGTTATCACGTTCGCTTTACACGCGAAAGGTCTCCGGTTCGATCCCGGACGGAACCATGCGAAAGAATGCTTTTTTTTTTATGATTAAGGAATTTACAATTACATACGCACGTTTGGAGGTATCCCACTTTTTTATCATTAGTTATAAAGACATTTTCTTCGGTAACATCACGTTCTCTCTTCAAAATAAAGTTTAAGCTCCAACTCTGTCTGTGTTAATGCATCAGAAGTAGGCTCTTCTCTCGGCTTCCATGGTTCCGTAGTGTAGTGGTTATCACGTTCGCTTCACACGCGAAAGGTCTCCGGTTCGATCCCGGACGGAACCATGCGAAAGAATGCGTTTTCTTTTTTTATGATTAAGGAATTTACAATTACATACGCACGTGAGGGGAGGTATCCCACTTTTTTATCATTAGTTATAAAGACATTTTCTTCGGTAACATCACGTTCTCTCTTCAAAATAAAGTTTAAGCTCCAACTCTGTCTGTGTTAATGCATCAGAAGTAGGCTCATCTCTCGGCTTCCATGGTTCCGTAGTGTAGTGGTTATCACGTTCGCTTCACACGCGAAAGGTCTCCGGTTCGATCCCGGACGGAACCATGCGAAAGAATGCTTTTTTTTTTATGATTAAGGAATTTACAATTACATACGCACGTTTGGAGGTATCCCACTTTTTTATCATTAGTTATAAAGATTTTCTTCGGTAACATCACGTTCTCTCTTCAAAATAAAGTTTAAGCTCCAACTCTGTCTGTGTTAATGCATCAGAAGTAGGCTCATCTCTCGGCTTCCATGGTTCCGTAGTGTAGTGGTTATCACGTTCGCTTCACACGCGAAAGGTCTCCGGTTCGATCCCGGACGGAACCATGCGAAAGAATGCTTTTTTTTATGATTAAGGAATTTACAATTACATACGCACGTTTGGAGGTATCCCACTTTTTTATCATTAGTTATAAAGACATTTTCTTCGGTAACATCACGTTCTCTCTTCAAAATAAAGTTTAAGCTCCAACTCTGTCTGTGTTAATGCATCAGAAGTAGGCTCATCTCTCGGCTTCCATGGTTCCGTAGTGTAGTGGTTATCACGTTCGCTTTACACGCGAAAGGTCTCCGGTTCGATCCCGGACGGAACCATGCGAAAGAATGCTTTTTTTTTTATGATTAAGGAATTTACAATTACATACGCACGTTTGGAGGTATCCCACTTTTTTATCATTAGTTATAAAGACATTTTCTTCGGTAACATCACGTTCTCTCTTCAAAATAAAGTTTAAGCTCCAACTCTGTCTGTGTTAATGCATCAGAAGTAGGCTCATCTCTCGGCTTCCATGGTTCCGTAGTGTAGTGGTTATCACGTTCGCTTCACACGCGAAAGGTCTCCGGTTCGATCCCGGACGGAACCATGCGAAAGAATGCTTTTTTTTTTATGATTAAGGAATTTACAATTACATACGCACGTTTGGAGGTATCCCACTTTTTTATCATTAGTTATAAAGACATTTTCTTCGGTAACATCACGTTCTCTCTTCAAAATAAAGTTTAAGCTCCAACTCTGTCTGTGTTAATGCATCAGAAGTAGGCTCTTCTCTCGGCTTCCATGGTTCCGTAGTGTAGTGGTTATCACGTTCGCTTCACACGCGAAAGGTCTCCGGTTCGATCCCGGACGGAACCATGCGAAAGAATGCTTTTTTTTGATGATTAAGGAATTTACAATTACATACGCACGTTTGGAGGTATCCCACTTTTTTATCATTAGTTATAAAGACATTTTCTTCGGTAACATCACGTTCTCTCTTCAAAATAAAGTTTAAGCTCCAACTCTGTCTGTGTTAATGCATCAGAAGTAGGCTCTTCTCTCGGCTTCCATGGTTCCGTAGTGTAGTGGTTATCACGTTCGCTTCACACGCGAAAGGTCTCCGGTTCGATCCCGGACGGAACCATGCGAAAGAATGCTTTTTTTTTTATGATTAAGGAATTTACAATTACATACGCACGTTTGGAGGTATCCCACTTTTTTATCATTAGTTATAAAGACATTTTCTTCGGTAACATCACGTTCTCTCTTCAAAATAAAGTTTAAGCTCCAACTCTGTCTGTGTTAATGCATCAGAAGTAGGCTCTTCTCTCGGCTTCCATGGTTCCGTAGTGTAGTGGTTATCACGTTCGCTTCACACGCGAAAGGTCTCCGAAAGGTACATCGCGTTTGTTCGATCCCGGACGGAACCATGCGAAAGAATGCTTTTTTATGATTAAGGAATTTACAATTACATACGCACGTTTGGAGGTATCCCACTTTTTTATCATTAGTTATAAAGACATTTTCTTCGGTAACATCACGTTCTCTCTTCAAAATAAAGTTTAAGCTCCAACTCTGTCTGTGTTAATGCATCAGAAGTAGGCTCTTCTCTCGGCTTCCATGGTTCCGTAGTGTAGTGGTTATCACGTTCGCTTCACACGCGAAAGGTCTCCGGTTCGATCCCGGACGGAACCATGCGAAAGAATGCTTTTTTTTTTTATGATTAAGGAATTTACAATTACATACGCACGTTTGGAGGTATCCCACTTTTTTATCATTAGTTATAAAGACATTTTCTTCGGTAACATCACGTTCTCTCTTCAAAATAAAGTTTAAGCTCCAACTCTGTCTGTGTTAATGCATCAGAAGTAGGCTCATCTCTCGGCTTCCATGGTTCCGTAGTGTAGTGGTTATCACGTTCGCTTCACACGCGAAAGGTCTCCGGTTCGATCCCGGACGGAACCATGCGAAAGAATGCTTTTTTTATGATTAAGGAATTTACAATTACATACGCACGTTTGGAGGTATCCCACTTTTTTATCATTAGTTATAAAGACATTTTCTTCGGTAACATCACGTTCTCTCTTCAAAATAAAGTTTAAGCTCCAACTCTGTCTGTGTTAATGCATCAGAAGTAGGCTCTTCTCTCGGCTTCCATGGTTCCGTAGTGTAGTGGTTATCACGTTCGCTTTACACGCGAAAGGTCTCCGGTTCGATTCCGGACGGAACCATGCGAAAGAATGCTTTTTTTTTTTTTATGATTAAGGAATTTACAATTACATACGCACGTTTGGAGGTATCCCACTTTTTTATCATTAGTTATAAAGACATTTTCTTCGGTAACATCACGTTCTCTCTTCAAAATAAAGTTTAAGCTCCAACTCTGTCTGTGTTAATGCATCAGAAGTAGGCTCTTCTCTCGGCTTCCATGGTTCCGTAGTGTAGTGGTTATCACGTTCGCTTCACACGCGAAAGGTCTCCGGTTCGATCCCGGACGGAACCATGCGAAAGAATGCATTAGTTATAAAGACATTTTTTTTTTTTTATGATTAAGGAATTTACAATTACATACGCACGTTTGGAGGTATCCCACTTTTTTATCATTAGTTATAAAGACATTTTCTTCGGTAACATCACGTTCTCTCTTCAAAATAAAGTTTAAGCTCCAACTCTGTCTGTGTTAATGCATCAGAAGTAGGCTCTTCTCTCGGCTTCCATGGTTCCGTAGTGTAGTGGTTATCACGTTCGCTTCACACGCGAAAGGTCTCCGGTTCGATCCCGGACGGAACCATGCGAAAGAATGCTTTCTTTTTTTTATGATTAAGGAATTTACAATTACATACGCACGTTTGGAGGTATCCCACTTTTTTATCATTAGTTATAAAGACATTTTCTTCGGTAACATCACGTTCTCTCTTCAAAATAAAGTTTAAGCTCCAACTCTGTCTGTGTTAATGCATCAGAAGTAGGCTCTTCTCTCGGCTTCCATGGTTCCGTAGTGTAGTGGTTATCACGTTCGCTTCACACGCGAAAGGTCTCCGGTTCGATCCCGGACGGAACCATGCGAAAGAATGCTTTTTTTTTTTTATGATTAAGGAATTTACAATTACATACGCACGTTTGGAGGTATCCCACTTTTTTATCATTAGTTATAAAGACATTTTCTTCGGTAACATCACGTTCTCTCTTCAAAATAAAGTTTAAGCTCCAACTCTGTCTGTGTTAATGCATCAGAAGTAGGCTCTTCTCTCGGCTTCCATGGTTCCGTAGTGTAGTGGTTATCACGTTCGCTTCACACGCGAAAGGTCTCCGGTTCGATCCCGGACGGAACCATGCGAAAGAATGCTTTTTTTTTTTATGATTAAGGAATTTACAATTACATACGCACGTTTGGAGGTATCCCACTTTTTTATCATTAGTTATAAAGACATTTTCTTCGGTAACATCACGTTCTCTCTTCAAAATAAAGTTTAAGCTCCAACTCTGTCTGTGTTAATGCATCAGAAGTAGGCTCTTCTCTCGGCTTCCATGGTTCCGTAGTGTAGTGGTTATCACGTTCGCTTCACACGCGAAAGGTCTCCGGTTCGATCCCGGACGGAACCATGCGAAAGAATGCTTTTTTTTTTATGATTAAGGAATTTACAATTACATACGCACGTTTGGAGGTATCCCACTTTTTTATCATTAGTTATAAAGACATTTTCTTCGGTAACATCACGTTCTCTCTTCAAAATAAAGTTTAAGCTCCAACTCTGTCTGTGTTAATGCATCAGAAGTAGGCTCATCTCTCGGCTTCCATGGTTCCGTAGTGTAGTGGTTATCACGTTCGCTTCACACGCGAAAGGTCTCCGGTTCGATCCCGGACGGAACCATGCGAAAGAATGCTTTTTTTTTTTTATGATTAAGGAATTTACAATTTACATACGCACGTTTGGAGGTATCCCACTTTTTTATCATTAGTTATAAAGACATTTTCTTCGGTAACATCACGTTCTCTCTTCAAAATAAAGTTTAAGCTCCAACTCTGTCTGTGTTAATGCATCAGAAGTAGGCTCTTCTCTCGGCTTCCATGGTTCCGTAGTGTAGTGGTTATCACGTTCGCTTCACACGCGAAAGGTCTCCGGTTCGATCCCGGACGGAACCATGCGAAAGAATGCTTTTTTTTTTTATGATTAAGGAATTTACAATTACATACGCACGTTTGGAGGTATCCCACTTTTTTATCATTAGTTATAAAGACATTTTCTTCGGTAACATCACGTTCTCTCTTCAAAATAAAGTTTAAGCTCCAACTCTGTCTGTGTTAATGCATCAGAAGTAGGCTCATCTCTCGGCTTCCATGGTTCCGTAGTGTAGTGGTTATCACGTTCGCTTCACACGCGAAAGGTCTCCGGTTCGATCCCGGACGGAACCATGCGAAAGAATGCTTTTTTTTTTTATGATTAAGGAATTTACAATTACATACGCACGTTTGGAGGTATCCCACTTTTTTATCATTAGTTATAAAGACATTTTCTTCGGTAACATCACGTTCTCTCTTCAAAATAAAGTTTAAGCTCCAACTCTGTCTGTGTTAATGCATCAGAAGTAGGCTCTTCTCTCGGCTTCCATGGTTCCGTAGTGTAGTGGTTATCACGTTCGCTTCACACGCGAAAGGTCTCCGGTTCGATCCCGGACGGAACCATGCGAAAGAATGCTTTTTTTTTTTTATGATTAAGGAATTTACAATTACATACGCACGTTTGGAGGTATCCCACTTTTTTATCATTAGTTATAAAGACATTTTCTTCGGTAACATCACGTTCTCTCTTCAAAATAAAGTTTAAGCTCCAACTCTGTCTGTGTTAATGCATCAGAAGTAGGCTCATCTCTCGGCTTCCATGGTTCCGTAGTGTAGTGGTTATCACGTTCGCTTCACACGCGAAAGGTCTCCGGTTCGATCCCGGACGGAACCATGCGAAAGAATGCTTTTTTTTTTATGATTAAGGAATTTACAATTACATACGCACGTTTGGAGGTATCCCACTTTTTTATCATTAGTTATAAAGACATTTTCTTCGGTAACATCACGTTCTCTCTTCAAAATAAAGTTTAAGCTCCAACTCTGTCTGTGTTAATGCATCAGAAGTAGGCTCTTCTCTCGGCTTCCATGGTTCCGTAGTGTAGTGGTTATCACGTTCGCTTTACACGCGAAAGGTCTCCGGTTCGATTCCGGACGGAACCATGCGAAAGAATGCTTTTTTTATGATTAAGGAATTTACAATTACATACGCACGTTTGGAGGTATCCCACTTTTTTATCATTAGTTATAAAGACATTTTCTTCGGTAACATCACGTTCTCTCTTCAAAATAAAGTTTAAGCTCCAACTCTGTCTGTGTTAATGCATCAGAAGTAGGCTCTTCTCTCGGCTTCATGGTTCCGTAGTGTAGTGGTTATCACGTTCGCTTCACACGCGAAAGGTCTCCGGTTCGATCCCGGACGGAACCATGCGAAAGAATGCTTTTTTTATGATTAAGGAATTTACAATTACATACGCACGTTTGGAGGTATCCCACTTTTTTATCATTAGTTATAAAGACATTTTCTTCGGTAACATCACGTTCTCTCTTCAAAATAAAGTTTAAGCTCCAACTCTGTCTGTGTTAATGCATCAGAAGTAGGCTCTTCTCTCGGCTTCCATGGTTCCGTAGTGTAGTGGTTATCACGTTCGCTTCACACGCGAAAGGTCTCCGGTTCGATCCCGGACGGAACCATGCGAAAGAATGCTTTTTTTTTTTTATGATTAAGGAATTTACAATTACATACGCACGTTTGGAGGTATCCCATTTTTTTATCATTAGTTATAAAGACATTTTCTTCGGTAACATCACGTTCTCTCTTCAAAATAAAGTTTAAGCTCCAACTCTGTCTGTGTTAATGCATCAGAAGTAGGCTCTTCTCTCGGCTTCCATGGTTCCGTAGTGTAGTGGTTATCACGTTCGCTTCACACGCGAAAGGTCTCCGGTTCGATCCCGGACGGAACCATGCGAAAGAATGCTTTTTTTTTTATGATTAAGGAATTTACAATTACATACGCACGTTTGGAGGTATCCCACTTTTTTATCATTAGTTATAAAGACATTTTCTTCGGTAACATCACGTTCTCTCTTCAAAATAAAGTTTAAGCTCCAACTCTGTCTGTGTTAATGCATCAGAAGTAGGCTCATCTCTCGGCTTCCATGGTTCCGTAGTGTAGTGGTTATCACGTTCGCTTCACACGCGAAAGGTCTCCGGTTCGATCCCGGACGGAACCATGCGAAAGAATGCTTTTTTTTTTATGATTAAGGAATTTACAATTACATACGCACGTTTGGAGGTATCCCACTTTTTTATCATTAGTTATAAAGACATTTTCTTCGGTAACATCACGTTCTCTCTTCAAAATAAAG